ATGGCATGGGGTGCTAAGGGTAATGGAATGCTTTTAGATTATTCTCTTCCTGATGTGTATTTCACTCGCGCTTGCATATGAAAGTTAGTACGCACGTATAAAACACAAGCACTTGCATGCACACGCGCGCACGTGCACACACACAAAAAGGATACACGCGCACAAACACACACGCGCACACACACACACGCGCACACACACACGCGCACACACACACACGTACACGCACACGTACACGCACACGTACACGCACACGTACACGCACACGTACACGCACACATACACACACACATACACACAACACAACACACACACACACACACACACACACACACACACACACACACACACACACACACACACACACACACACACACACACACACACACACACGCACATGCACACGCACACGCACACGCACGCACGCACGCTCAATTTCCCTCTCTCTCCCTTTTCCCCTTCCTTTCTTTCTGTCCCTTTCTCTCTCCCTCTCTCCACCACTCCTCCTCTCCCCCTCTCCTTCTCCCTCTCCCTCTTTCCCTCCCTCTCCCTTCTCCCTCTCCCTCTCCCTCTCCCTCTCCCCTCTCCTTCTCCTGCTCCCTCTCCTTTTCCCTCTTCTTCTCCCATTCCCTCCCTCTCCTTCTTCCTCTCCTTCTCCCACTCCTTTCCTTTCCTTCTTCCTCTCTCCTCTCCCACTCCTTTCCTTTCCTTCTTCCTCTTCTTCTCCCACTCCTTTCCTCTCTTTCTCTCTCTCCCTCTCCCTCTCCTCTCCCTCTTCCCTCTCCCTCTCCCCCTCCCTCTCCCTCTCCCTCTCCCTCTCTCTCCCTCTCCCCTCTCCCCTCTCCCTCCCCCCCCCTCCCCTCTCCCTCCCTCTCTCTCCCCTCTCTTCCTCTCTCTCTCTCTCTCTCTCTCTCTCTCTCTCTCTCTCTCTCTCTCTCTCTCTCTCTCTCTCTCCTCTCTCTCTCTTCTCTCTCTCTCTCTCTCTCTCTCTCTCTCTCTCTCTCTCTCTCTCTGGCTTCTGAAGGCAAATTGAAATATTTAAATATCATAGATGGAGTTACGGGTGAAGAATTGACCTCAAAAGACCTGCAACAGAGAGGCATGAAGGTAGCTTCTGGATTAAAAAGACGTGGATTTGCCGCAGGAGATGTCTTGTGTATCCTATCCCCAAACACCATTCATTATCCTGCTGTGTTCCTTGGCGCCACTCTTAATGGAGGCATTGTCAGCCTTGCCAATCCGGCTTATAATGCAGGTAATAACTATTCTTTTATTTTGGTCTTTTTTAATACTGCTTACAACTTATTGTAACATGAATTGTACCTTTTTTCATATGTTTGACTATTTCGTTTTAAAAGATATGTACTCAGCTACCAAGGTCATTAGTGGTAATTTTGTTATAACTAACTATGATATACATTAATGGAGATATATTTCAAAGATGAAGATCTAAATAAGGAAAGGGAGGAAGTATGTATCTATGAAAAAAATATCATGTGATATAACCCATTTTAAAAGTGTGAACATCATAACTGCTCCATTACAAAACCAACTTGGAAAAATTATCGTCATAACTAACACCACATATATATCTTACTACAGATGAGTTTGAACACATAGTAAGGAATTCAGGTGCCACATGGATAGCTGTTGGGGCTGGCTTAGAGAAGACTGCCCTGGAAGTTGCACAGCGTGTTGGGAACATCAAAGAGATCTTCCTTTTTGAAGGCCAAGTTGAGGGTTGTTCATTGTTCCAGGAGTTGTTAGATGATACAGGAGACCAATATGTGCCTCATACTCAGGTAAGAAAATATATGTATTTTTATTTTTGCTTATTTTCATATTTGTAGGGTACTTTTCCTTGGTAAATATGTCATTACTGATTAAGTAAAATATATTGTGTATCATCAGTGTATGGTATTTAAGCCATAAGTCTGATTCATAGGATTATGATTTTGATCCAGTGATATTTTATATTACTCTGATTACTTTCTTATAAAAAAAATTTCATGAAAAAGGTAAAACTGAATCCTGTTATAATCAATGCAAAATTAGTCTTCACTCTTTTCATTCATGAAATATATCTCACCTGTGTTAGAGGTTGTCCAAGTTTTCTAGAAACATGATTTGGTTTTCATACAACAGGTTGATCCAATAAAAGATGTAGTGGTTCTGCCATATTCCTCGGGCACTACTGGTCTTCCCAAAGGTGTAATGGTGACACATAGAAATCTTGCTGCAGCATTTATGCAGTTCAGGTATATATTATGGACATTTCTTTACTTTGAAACTACTTTGACATACAAAGGAAATCCAAAGGAAATGTAAAAATTGAATCATATATATCAGATAGACGTTCAACACAAACATCTATTAAAACCAGAGAAAGTAAAAGCTCTCCACTTTTTTGTGATAATGAAAGATATTTTCTTTATATAATCAATTCTTGTGTAATACAGAGATCCACGTACCTTGGGTTTAGACGGCAACGATGTCATGATGTTATTCTTACCCTTTTTCCACTCACTCGGCTTCATCATGATGTTCTCCTCGCTTATTAATGATTATAAGGCAGTTATGTTACCAAGATTCATTCCTGACCTTTTTCTGAAAGTTATACAGGAACATAAAGTAAGTTTATCAGTCTTTGTTCACATTAATTTACGTGAAGGCTAATATGTGTGAATATGGTGAAACTATTATACAGATACAAGAATGTATACAGAATGGTAAAAATGATGATGATGATAACAAAAAAGAAGAAATATAACAAAGTACCCTCTTTTAGGTATCATGCATGGCTGTGGTGCCGCCTGTGGTCTTGTTCTTAGCACAGTCTCCAGCTGTTGATAAATATGACCTCACCTCACTTAGGAGGATGTACTGTGCTGCAGCCCCATTGTCAGCTGACGTCCAAGAAGCCGTGATAAAAAGGGTAATACAAACAATTGGTTTTAAAAAGAAGTGAATGTATATCTAACATATATGACTGTACTTCTGAAATTAGCATAACATTTTATACATTATGAAATAATTCATTGTACTGGCTTATTATTTGATTCATTTTTCATAGCTTGGTGGCTCACTAGAGTTGTGCCAAGGTTATGGGATGACTGAGTCTGTGGCCTGTATTTCGCTCTGTTCACAAGAAAACAAATTGGGATCTATTGGTCAGCTTTCCGGATACATGGAGTTAAAGGTTTGTGACACTTTTTTCAGCCTATATAATTACAAAAACCTTCATTATTATCTAATTCAATTATGGGTGGATTCTTTTGAGTATTATTTTACAGAGATCTGATTTGGGTATGAAAGATTTAAATTTTTTTCTTTCTTTCTTTTGCACCAATTAAATTTGTCTATTTTTAGCAGTGACTTTATGTCACAAATTCCTAATAAAAAATATATTGGGCATCAAAATGATACAAAGATAAAAAAAATAGAAGTAGATAGTAACATATCTTTTCAGATTGTTGATGTAGAAACAAGAGAACCTTTAGGCCCAAACCAAGAAGGAGAAATATGTATAAACGGTCCTCAGATAACTCCAGGATATTATAAGTAAGTAATGATCATTTTGTATGCCCAGATTCTTAAGCAGTCTACAAGAAACAGTAGTTCAGCTTTAGTCATGTAACATGGGAGTAAAAAAAGGAGGGAAAGAAAATGAAATAAAAAAAGTTTGTGTGTGTGTGTGTGTGTGTGTGTGTGTGTGTGTGTGTGTGTGTTGTGTGTGTGTGTGTGTGTGTGTGTGTGTGTGTGTGTGTGTGTGTGTGTGTGTGTGAGTGTGAGTGAGTGATGAGTGAGTGAGTGAGTGAGTGAGACTGTGAGTGATTGAGATTTGTAGTAAATGCATACTTCCACTTTCAGTTTTGAGGAAATCAGTTGTCAAGACTACCCTATCCCTCCTGGACCATGCCTCTGAACAAGATTTTTTTTTTCTTTTTAGAAATCAAAAGGCAACTGATGAAACTTTTGCCGCTGATGGATGGCTTAAAACAGGCGATGTGGGGTACTTTGATGATGAGGGCTTCCTTTATATTGTTGATCGCCTTAAAGAATTAATCAAATACAAGGGACTGCAGGTGAGTAGTTATTGTATGGTGACAATTGACACCATAATATAAATCAATTATTTCTATGTTTAAAAATATGTCTTTACTCTACCTTAAAACATTTCAAGCAAAATCCATAAAAATTATATACTAAATGAGCCTTGTATTCTAATATATTCAAATGTATTACAAAAAATAATCATGTGAAACAATAAAACTGATACATGATATACTAGACAATTAGTCAAGAAAACATGACTACTGTCATCCACTGGCTAGTTATTTTGTAATGGTTTAATTCACAGGTTGCACCAGCAGAATTAGAGGGATTATTGTTGCAACATGAAGATATTATAGATGCTGCTGTTGTTGGTAAGAAACATGATCGCTATGGGGAACTTCCAACAGCATTTGTAGTTAAGAAACCTGGTTCACAAGTTACAGCTGAAGATGTGCAGCATTTTATTGCAAGTAAGTTTAGATGTGTTCAGATGATGTTTATGTATTTTCACAAACAGTGTATTGTCACAGAGTAGAGAAAGCATAAATGAGAATGAATAACTTCACAATGCAGGATATGTAAGCGAGAGTACTTAGTTAAATACTTGTTAAAGTTTTGGAATTAATTACATAAAGTAATTCTGGTAAAGATTAAATCAGAATTGTTCAATCACATTAGTTGCCTTTTCAAATTTACCTTTCATTATAATCTAATTATATCAACAACATTCCTTCACTTAGGACAAAGGACTTGTGTTTTGATTATTAAGATTATGCATATGTTCATATTCATATATGTATGTGTATCTTCATATTCAAAGTGTAATGGGTTTGACATAATATCTAAATATATAAGTATTTTTCACTGTTCTAAAACTCTTAAATATATGAGATGATGCCTTCATGCACAGTACAACATAAGTATAACCCAAATATTCTTCACAACCAGTAGTTTTAAAAAATGTGATACCCCTATATGGACTCAATATATGTGATTATAGTAATGACTTGACTAAAAAGCAAATGCTGAAAGAAAAAAGAACTTATAGATATTCAGATTCTTAGATTTTTTATGCATTCCCACCTGTCTAAATTAACTACATTTCTTCCAGGTAAAGTGAGCAACCACAAACACTTACACGGTGGAGTAGTCTTCATGGAAGCCATTCCTAAAAATGCAAGTGGCAAGATTTTGAGGAAAGATATCAAGAAAATGGCAGAACAGTTATAATGGACCTTGTTATAAACTGTTCCTTGAGATTTTTTTCAGTTTGTAAGCTTGTTTGCATTTATTCCTTTCTGTCCTTGGCAGCATTGAATATTATGGCATTAGTGAACATACGCAGAGGGTTGAAAGAGTTATGGAAATGTTAATTGGTTATATATTTTGTATATTTTCCTGAATTAGTTCTTGTGTGGGAGTGACTGTGAACTGTTATTATTTTATTTTAATTTTTTTCTTTCTTTCTTTTTTCCTTCTTTTTTTTTTTTTCTTTCTTTCTTTCTTTCCAGTTAACTGATATACTATATTTTTAGATATTGATTTGTAACCCATATTGATATTAAAATTTAACATAATCTAAAGTTTCTTTCATCAGAAACCAGATCTCTCTATCTTCATTTCTGACAGCTCTCACTTGTCTATAGACATGTAAAACCTGTCACATAAAACATGTAAAACTTGTTGCCATTATAGGGAATCTACATCAATTCACAAGTAGTATTTTATTTTAATGAATTTTGTCTACATCATTCAATTCTACTTTGGCTTTCAAAATCACAGCTAATATGAAAGGTAAGCTTAGATTATCTTTAATGTACTCTTATAGTTATGGCCTACATGAAAAGAAGGAAATGGCCGCAGCTAGTAAACAGCAGTTCTGCTCTTTTAACTTTGAAGATAACACCATTACTATTATCTATTCCATTTCATGTGCTTTATAACTGTTATCGTAATATTTAATTAATTTATACCACAGATTAGACCCGCCCTATCAATTCCTCTCATAATAAGGTGTTTGACGACAGAAATGATGAAGAGACATCTGAGTTTACATGTAGAAGTGAGTAGGTGATCAACTAAGGCTGATGATTTCCAAATTATATATTTTTTAAACAGCCTGTTGGCTTTTCTGAGGTCCTGCCAAATTGGTCATACTCTGAGTGTAGTAAGATATACAGAAGAATTGAATGGAGATCTTGAAGTAGTATAAAAAAATCAAAACTAAAAATGGGAAAACACATCTTTTTAAGTAGTTAAGCCTAGCCCAGGAATCAAACTTATCGATGGCAGAATAACTAATCCTGAGTTATGAGTACTGTATTCTAGGCATGGACAACTAAGACCTTTCCAGGGTATGAACAGTTCAAGAGTAAATAATGTAATCTGGGGTGTTGCCCTCACAAGACTGCTTGCCCATCTTAAGGTCTGGCATGCCCCCTCCCCAATGACCACAGCCCCTTGATTTTTTACCTAAATTACACCTTTATAGGTCTGCTTGTAGCTTAAAGACCTATAGAATAACCAATTTTTCACAATTTTTTACAGGGAGGCTCACAGCACCCTAGTATATGATTGTGCTCATTCACTTACAAACCTTCCCCCCTCCACACACACACAAGCAAAAGCTGAAATGACATCCCTGCTTGAGATTAAGATTGAATAAACCTGATTTTGCCTGAAGTTCATTTAGCAATCTGAATGGCATATTCTCTCTAAGGAAAATTTTGACTCTGAAAATATTAACAGATGGAATGAGTTATTATAAATATATGTAGTGAATGGCAGAAAGTTAAGAGGTCAGTTTGAGGAACTGGATATGAACTACAGGGGTTCTGATTTGTCAATAGAAATAAACTTGTTAATCTAGAACCTGACAGAAGAGAAGAAAAGACCAAGTAAGGAAACAGAACCCTGCAGACCATTTATTGTAATTGGAGAAGAAAATTTTGTTGTCCAGTATACATCAAGAAAGAAAAACATTTTGCAAATAAAACTGAAGTCATGGATAGAATGCCTGAGATCGCTTTCTGTGTCCTCAATACTTAAAGCAACAATATATGTTTATTTAAAGAACTCAGTGATGAAAACCGTTTGTATGCGAGACAGGACAATGGATTGGTCCTTCAGCACAGGTACCAGCATATCCCATATTCATGACCAGCGCTCCCGCACGCAACAGGTTCTGAGACGATCTGGCCACCTACTGATTGGACTGCAGTCGCATGTGAAGAGGGTTTGGAGTTCAGCTTTATCAGGGCTTGTTAGGCAGGATGGCCATTTACAAAAAAATGGCGTCCGACCTCCTCTGCAAGACTCCAAATAAACTGTTCCTTATCCCTTCTCAGCAGTAACCGAGTCCTGCGCACCTGGGAACGATGCAAATCCCGATCCCCTGTCAAACGAGCCGCGCGACCAGCCTCTGTGGCTTCCACTGTCTCTTGCGAGATAAACATCTGTCGTGCTCTTGGGCATTCACCAATTGATTCTTGAGTTGCATCGAGCGTATCGCGCCTGAAGGTGTCCCGCAACACTACAGGGTCCGTCAGCTTGTCGAGTGCTGCGAAACGACCAGGAATTGCCTCAGCGAATCCCCGTACACACTCCCCCTCCCCCAAGTCCAGATGAAAAACCCTAGGGTCATTGGACCGATGGGGAGTTTTGAAGTGAAATCGGAGGGTAGCCACAACTAATCTATGACTAGTACCATAGTACTTGACGCTCCTATACACCCTGTAGTTCTGGAGGATCCTCCGGCGAGTGCTAGCGAGGATGTGGTCGATCTCCTTGGCTGCATTACCCGCATCGCTGTACCACGTTCAGCGATGAAGGGCAGAGCGCTGATACCAAGAGCCAGAATTCTCAAAATCTGTGACCTTGCTAAGTCTCGGAAAAGGATGCTCCCAGCTCCCGAACCATGGGAACCGACCGACATCTCATAGCCAGCTCGATCGCAGCCAGATACCACATGGAAGTCGCCCAAAACAATACAAATATCTCGCTGAGGGCAACTGTCCGACACAGATACAAGTTTGGCGTAAAACATCTCTTTCACGTCGATAAAGGTTGGAAGAAAGGAAGGAATGGAGAGAGAGAGGGGGGGGGAAGTTGAAGAAAGGAAGGGAAAAATAGATGGGGAAGGAAGGAAGGAAGGGTGGAGGGCGGAGGGAGGGAGAGGGAATGGGATTGGGAGAGGGAGGGAGGGAAGGAGGATGAGAATGAGTGAGAGAGAGAGTGGAGGGAGGGGGCGGAGGTAGGGTGGGAAGAAGGAAGGAAAGTACGGAGGTAGGGAGAGAAAAGAGGGGGAAGGGAAAGGAAGGAGGGAAGGAAGAAAGAGAGGAGGAAGGAAGGATGGAGGGGGGTAGGGAAGGAGATGTAGTGGGATTGGGAGGGGAAGAGAGAGAGTGAGAGAGAAAAAGGTGGTGGGGAATTCATACACACACACACACACACACACACACACACACACACACACACACACACACACACACACACACACACTCACACATCGTCATATCATCATCATCATCCCATTTTTAAAGTCACCATCAGTATAATGTTATGATTATTAGCACTGTTATTGTTAATGATATATATTTTTTTACATCTGTCCATCATAGCTCATCAGTAATAATATACATAATTATGAAAGCAACCTCTCTTGATAAACCAATATCTATCTCATTACCTTCATCTTTATAATCATTACCCACAACAAATACAGGTAGATCCTTATAAACAGAGCAAATCAAACAAAACAGTATAGTTATTACATTTATTAACAAACATCAACCATTCACTCACCTGTACTTAAATTAACATCTCATGGGAAACATTCATAACACAAATTTACAAGAATATTAGAAGGGAGGATTTATGACACGGATTTACAAGAGCATCTGAGCGTCTAACAGGAACTACCTGTGGTCGTAAATACCCCAGTCTTCTTTGATCATGTCGGCTCCCTTTTCAGCTATCATGATCACCGGCGCGTTGGGGTTGCCAGATACCACCACCGGCATTATGGAAGCATCTATGACACGGAGGCCTCTCACACCTCTCACCCTGGGAAATGGAGATTTATTTTCTTTCTAATAACGAAGTTAAAATATGTTTAGAATGAAGCGGTGAAAGGAAAAAAGGAGTATATGTGGTAGAGATTTTTTTTTTGTATTCTTGTTGAATCTTTTCATCCTTGTAGATTATAGATCATTTTCGAAAACTTTATTCAGTCAATAATGATTTTTCAACAATTATAAAATATCTAAAGAAAATTTTGTACTCTACATCCTCTAGATTAAACAAAGGGGAAAAATATCCACAGTAACAACCACAGATTAAACCTAATGTCCCACCTTAGTCTGTTGTCCACCACTGCAAGAGGATCAGTGTCAGGTCCCATCTTGCAAGTGCCTGCAGGGTGCCAGAAGGAGGATGCCATGTGCTTGATATAACAGGCCCAGTATTTATCGGTGTTAAAGACTATCCCCTCGCAGCCAGGAACAATCTGTTTGGTGTCATTTACGATGAGAAAATGAATCCATCTTTTCGAAACTAATGATGAAATAGCGATATGTGTGCATGGAATCAAAACTGGCATTATGTATTTCTATTTTTGGACTAATTGCAAGGATTATGCATTGTATCATGATAACTATTTAGATATAATTCAAGTGTTTCAATGTCTATCCAGTTATAATTGACACGGTTCTAATATCCATTCAAATATAGATCATATATTTTCAATAGCAATTCTGATCAAACTGATGTGATTCCAATAAGCTTTCTCGTTAGCTAAGAGAATATTTCAAATTATTTCTAAGAACCGCGAGACCCCAAGCTGCATGTTTTGGACCTCACCATGTCGTGAAACTTGGCCTTGAAGCGCTTTGTGAGGGACGTGCAATTGCCCACTTTTATTGCAAATCGGATTCCTGAAAGAAATGAAAGATCATAACTCTGTAAGGATGCTTCAGTGATTATAAGGTAATCTAAACCTTTTCAATGAAGTAAGTTTTGTTCAAATCTAGTTATGTTGATGAATAGCTCACAATCAATTTCTTGAACAAGAATATCATACCGAGCGTTCCATAAGGTTTGGTATTATCACGCTATACTCATTAAAACAGAAAAACAATCAGAATAAAGAACATACCTTATGAAAACCCCGAAGTAAAGCAATTTCACATTAATTCACGATTAATTTCACATACAATACCAACCAAACCAAAACACCAGAAGCAGAAAAAAAATAATATACCTTATCTAAACCTCGGTGGAAAAAGTAATTCCACAGGTGATCATAATCCAAACACAACTTCACACACACAAAAAGCTTTACCTTCGATTAGAGTTTCCACGTCATAAGGATGGCTCATGTAGTTCGGATCAATAACGGGCAGGTCTCGAGGCCGTTTCGACCTGAGTGAAACCGCTCCACGACTTTTGGGTCTCAAGAGGTACAAGTTCATTGTGAATCCGTCGCGGCCAAACAGAGGGCGCGCGTAGTCATTGTATTTCTGAGGACAGAAGAAAACGATAAGGTTAGTTCCATGTGAAAGAAAGAATCGTGGGAATA